CGATAACAACAATCATCATGATGAGTTCGGCTGAACAACAACAACAACACCTGTCGGTGGTGGAGGATAGTGATCAAAGAATGGTGGAACATAATGAGGTTCCGATTATGGCCAAACCAGGAGAAGCAAATGCATACTTTCCAAGTTATACGACAAATCATCCAGTTGAGAGGGATTCTGATGAGGACGAGACTGAGGAAGTTGATGATGATGAAAATGGAGGACGTTTCTTTGACCCTCTCTTTGAATTCAAGGAACAAGACAGATTGTTGCCATATGCAAACATTGAGAGAATTATGAAAAAAACTGTGGAAATGTTTAATAAGAGTGCTAAAATTTCAAAGGAAGCAAAGGAGTGTATGCAAGAATGTGTCACAGAATTTATTTGTTTTGTGACAGGTGAAGCATCCGATCTTTGTGTAGAAGAAAAGAGAAAAACTGTGGCAGGAGAAGATGTTTTGAATGCCTTGGAAAAACTTGGTTTTGAAAATTATTGTAAGTTTTTATATTGGGATGAGTATTGTGTTAATTGTGAAAAGGTGGAGCCTTAAAAGAATGTCTGACGAAACATAGAGAATCCATCAAAAATGACAAGAAAGGATCTGGATCTAACAAGAACAAAAAAAAGTCATCAAAGGGCGGAAAGAATAACAACAATAAGGATACTAATTGTTGAAGACGGATTAAGTTGGAAGTTTATTACTTCAATATTATTATTCGATGATTTTCCTTGTCTGCTATATAGAGCTCGCCAGTGATATGATTGATACACAATCCATTTGGATTTCCCTCACTGAACTGGATTGATTTTAGGTAATTTCCCTCTGGTGAAAATATTAAAACTCTTCTATTAGTGATTCCATCACAAACAAGAATTTGTTTTGTGATCTTGTCTACTGTTACAGATGTTGGAAATTCAAACTCACCCACTCCATTACCTCTGCTACCAAATTTGAAAAATAATACCTTGCCTCTTGTATCTGTAACATACACTCTATTATTATGTCTATCAGATATGATACATTGATTTTCATGATTGACTGTAATACCAAAAGGTGACTCCATTTTGAGCTTTCTTTCACATCTCTTTCCAAAAGCATATAAAAAGTCACCATCCTTTGAAAGCACTTTAATTCTATGATTGGACGAATCTGATATGAATATATCACCATAATTTCCACCATTTTCAAAAGTATTCACATGTATTCCACAAATTCCATTGAATTGATAGGGTCCATTGCCAGGTTTCAATCTTAGACCTCTCCTCCAAAGTTGTTCATGCTTTATCAAATCGTAACAATAAATACATTCATCATCACCTGCAACTAATAAATTCCCATAAATATCTATTTCCATAAAAAGTGGTTTGAAAACCAAATCAATTTTATATTGAAATTCTCGTGTTGTTAAATCAAAGGCTTGAATCCTCCTATTGCCATGATCAGCAACTAGCAATATGTGATTTTCATGTGATATTTTTACATCGTATGGAAGTGAAAATTTGCCACATTCCGAATCCTCCCAAGAAGAAGCAATAATACCCAAACTATCTTCATCATAGGATGGCATTACCAATAATTTCGGAATGCAACCAACAATCTTTAGAGAATCACTCAATCCACATTCCAAAAAATCTTTTGATTTTCTCATCCCTTTCCTCATATTTTCCGTTAATTTTCTCAAGAGCCAATCTAAATGACTAAATTCCTCTTCCTCTTGATCAGTCTGCACATGATTAAAATCGTGTAGAATCAACACAAAGGTCACAGCTGATTCTCTTTTCATTTTTTTTTAAAATTCAAAAACAAAAGGTTTTCCAATTAGTTTGTCTTCCTTATTGCCAATAACAGAAATTGCATTAATATACATTCTGTCACTCTCCTTCTCATAGGCAAATCCTCTTGCTTTTGGACAGTGATTATGACCAAAACAGTGTACCTTTAAATTTGTGAAATGATTCGAGTCCAACAATGTGGTCAACTCTTCAGATCCTCTCGATGATCCATTTGATGTTCTATCCATATTGAATTTACAACATGGAAAGTGTGTCATTAGAATGTCAATATCATTCGGAATATTGAACGATGTCTTTTTACAAAACAAAGGTGGTGCCCAATTTCCTCTATATCTCACTCCATGAATCTTGATAGAATGATTATTATCGTCCACAATCGTCACACTTTCATCCAACAGTAAATAATATTGTGATTTGAGAGTGGATTTAGATTTTTCCTCTCGGAAATACTTTTGAAATCGTGGATAGACAATAATATCAGGTGACCATTCATGATTTCCTATATATTTAATGAATAATTAATTATTAAATCAATAATATATGTAATAATATATTGATGATGATGATATTTGTCATGTTCATAACCTACCCACAATCATGATAATATATTTAAATACTCCATCACATTGTTTAATTAAATATTCAAAAAACGTGTCAACTTCTGTGAATAATCCAGTATTGGTAAAGTCACCACAATGCAATAGAACATCACCTGCAGGCAGATCAACCATTTCATGCATACAATGTGTATCGGAAATGAGTACAAACTTCATGGGTTGAATTGGAAGATTTGAATGATGTTTTATGGATCGTTGTGGAACTTGCAGTGTTGTAATTTCCTCTTCGATTGGAGATGTTGATTCTCCTCCTACTACTACTTCCACTGATGATGTGTGATGATTCTTTTGATAGTAAAAGCTGCTTTCGTTTTCATTCATTTTTTTCAATTTGTTTTATTCAAATTTGTGTCATCTAAACTTGGAATTTGTAATCAACAATTTTAAAGTATTTCAAAAAGTTCAAGAAATTTATGAATTTGGAGTTTCAAAAATTCTCCATTAGCTTCAACTTTTTTGAACTTGCAAATATGAAATTTTCAACAATAAGCTGGTTCAATAATTACAATGAACTCTCTCTATCTTACATCTGAAATTACCTCTGCAAAGATTTCATCCCAAGGAGTTAGTGCCTCTTCAGTTACTTCATTTAGTGAGGAGCTAGGAGTCATTTCTTCCTCTTGGGTGAGTTGTTTCAGAATACTCATTAGTACTTCATCATTTTGCAATGGAATGTCATCGTTTGGTGTACCAGAGGAACTGATGATTGATAAATTATCTTTCAGTAAACTGAGTGGAGAAATATTTCTATTGAGAACTTGTGTCATTTCATCAATGAGATCCTTGTGCATATTTTGAACTCGTCTATATCGTTTACTCATCAAGCTGATTGCTCTAAAGTCCTTCTCCAGAATTGAGAAACTGTCAAATGTGATGGTTTGTCCTGAGGAAGTAAGAATGCTGGCTTTTCTAGGTTTCAATCCTTTTTCCACCATTTTACAAACATTCAAGTGAAATGCACAAGCTTCCACAACAGGTGAAAGAACTGCAAATAAGCAATATCTAATTAATTTTCAAAATGGTTATAAATATGATGATTTTGGATACTTACGGAAACAATTCATTTTCAGTCAATAAGGTTATTCTGAGTGCACTTTCTTCCATCATTGAATAGCTCACTTCTTGAATCTGTTTCAAGAATAAAAATGCATACCCTTCTGATAAAATTGTTGTAAACAATCTCTGATGTTTAAAGTATCCATCGCTGTGGCAGTCAGTTAGAGCTTTCATAGCTTCTGATTTGTGTTTCATGAGGGCCTTGAATATAAAGTGAGAAACTTGTTTGAAGAGTACATAGTTTTGAGGAGTAATTTTGGTATTTCTCATGTAGTCCCAAGTACCTGGCAGTAAGAATTCATCGAGTTTTCTATTTACAGAGTAGAAAAACAGTTGGTACATGTTATCCAACAGATTTTCCATATTATTCAATTCTTTCATAAATCTGGCCGAAACTAGAGTCTTGTGATGGACTAAACTAGCATAAAATCTATTTCTCAAGGTTTTTTCGTTATCCAAATAAAAATTAATAAGGGTATGATAATAGCTTGCTTTGATTTGATTTCCTTCTGCGACACAAGTCATAAACATCAAGTGACAAGAGGCACCCCAATAAAACTGTGTGATATGATCCACAGAAAGTGCTGCAATTTCACATTCTGCCCTTCTCAAAATATAATCCACATAGTCCAATTCACCCAACAGTTGTGAACTCAATGTCAAAATACCCAAATAGAAAGCATAAATACATCTCAATTCCCCCTTTGATTTTATCCATCCATCATTATGAAGCAATTCAACATCTTCCCCTCTCTCAAAACAATGCAAGTAATTATTCACAAAATGTACAAGTTTAGCCCTCTCAATCAGAGGATGATAC